AGCTGATGGTCTGGATATGTGCCTTGGTTGGTATGTGAGTGCCATCACATCTTTCAGATAGTGAACTATCTGAAGAGGAAGTGTAGCTGGCTAAGAAAGAACTTCAAGGATATCCTAGAGGCTAGTTTGAGCGCAGCCTACTGACAAACTCTTCTGAGCTTGCAGTCACAAAGGGGCAGCAAAAATGCGTGAGTGTGAAGAAAGCAGAAATCTGTTTGAATAGAAACAGCACGCTCTTATGCAGGAAACGCACGAAAGGCAAAGGCTGGGGCGGTAGCAGCAGAGCGGTTCTCAGACTGAGTAATCTTGTGAACAGTGTCACAAAAACTGCTTACCGTGGATAGACCTGTGCAGTCTTCTGCATACACAGCAGCTTTGACTTCCTCCCCTTTTCTTTTTCCAGTTAATGGCACTTTCACTCTTGAGCAGGACGATCTTGTGAAAGGGACAACTAATTCAGTACAAAAGCAGCAGATCTTAGCAGCAGGTAGACCTTATCTAGCTTCAAGCATCACCAGCAGATACACGCATGCCAAAAAACTATATCAACGTCTCTATCAATGCATTTTATCTGACTTATAATGGCATTATTACTTTTGTACTTAAATTAAGATATTTTAAGCATATAGCCTGATACTCCTTGGACTCCCTGAACTCCCAAGGACAGTCACAAAGATCATATTCTGCTATGGCTAGTTTATGTAGCTTCACTGATTCCTATAAGTGGCAAAATATCATCATGTCATAAGAAATCCATGTCAGATACACTGCTGCAGCTGTATAGCACATGGTAACACTGGTGCTATGTTTCCCTGAAAAATTGCATGTAAACTGCCTTATGTTTTACAATCCTCCTGTCTGAAAAGTTAGGCAGGAGGTTGTAGGTCATATTAAATATACTGTCTTCTGGGATCCTTGCAGGCAATCTTTTACGTCATAAATACTTTTAAACTTTTTTCCTACAGTTTCTGAAATGAAAAGGCAAATGTTATTCCTCTAGATCCATTTTTCTTAAATCTGTAGGCCTTTCTTATGTTAATCCAATCAACTTGAATCACATGGCTAGTAGTTTAATCAAGCCATTTTACAAGCGTGTTATTTGTTTCCATGTAATCTAATGTTTCATAATCATGAGTTTCAGTAACTTTTCATTGCTGAGATGACATGACTTTTCTTTGGAGGATTAATTTGTGCAGTTATATTAATAGTTTAATGCGCTCACCGTCCATTCTGGGGAAATGCTGAATCACATGTATAGCATAGCAAGTGGGATTCATCCAATCATATCTGGACCTGTGTTATGTAGAAGTCTATATCTAATATAGGCTCTCTTCATACACAGGGGGAAGAAATGAGCATCTCTAGAGCATGAGTCATGTCATCCTAAAGTAGATGCCTAGAATAGGTCAGATGATTCGCTCCCTAAAATTGCACCTATTTCTCTGCATTAAAGAACAAGTAGTTTACTTGTCTAGACTGCAGCAGCATGCAGTGAGGCGAGATTAATTATACTCTATAATATTCAGGTTTGTATTATGCTTCAAATACCCTGAAAATTCCTATCTGCAAAGAAATCTGAAAATGACATTGCTTTCTATATTATGTTCTATTTATAAAAAGCAGCTTTTGAAAATTTGCTGACTCAACACATTTTTAGTGAAGTTGGCAAATGCCATGTTTGTCAATGACAGGTTGTAGATCCTCTCTTGTTAATGACATAAATCTTCTTCAATTCTCCATCTGCAATGTTAGGAAAAATATGTTGTAGAGAGATATATTGTAAGTCCAGAGTAGAATTCTGTACTTTTGACGAAATTATGCCGTCTAGGGGGAAGAAAAAACACATTTCTTGTGGCAGGGTGATTTTTTTAAATTGCTGCTCAAAATTTGGTATGTGAAAAGTTGTTGTAAAATTGAACTGGTGGGTAGAGTACAGGTTAAGCAGTTAAAAAAAAAAAAAAATCACGATACCTAAAACTTGCCAGAGGTGTCACATTAGTGTAGTACATGCCAGAAGAATATGTGCCAGGAACTACTTAAGAAATGCAAGATTCTTCTGACCAGCTCTGCTAGCAGGAGTTAAAATCCTGCATAAAGCTGATGAGTAAGCTCTTGATGACTCACTGTGGCAGATGCAGTCTTTAATTCCAGGAGGGTATAAGGGAAGTGGGTGTGAATCTCTAGTTGAGGAGAGTTTAGGGGTAGAGGTGTTTCTGCCTCAGTGTCTTGGGGATAAAAGTGTAGGCTTTTAATATAGCCTGAGATATTGGTAAAGCCAAACTTCTGCACGGGGTAAGTTTGACTTTACACATCACACATAGATTTTATGTGAAGCAGGGTTAGAACACCACCTACTCACAGATGGGTATAATTTTGGGGATGCCCTGCATAATTCATGTGTGGCTTTGATACTTATGAGTAATTCAGACATCAAAGCCTCAGCTTAGATAACACTTTTATAACACCAAACTTCCTATAGCCAATAATATGTGGGCTTTCATTTAAATTCCTTTAAAAAATTATACAAATAGTTCCTCCTTTACCTTCAGATATTTCGCATAAGTAGTGCTGGTCTGAAGTACAAGGTAGAAAATACTGAAGCCTGGACTAGACAAAAAATTAAAATCCTGTCTCTTACTCTTCACTGGGACTAGAAATGTAAACTTTAAAGGACTGGAAGCCTCTTTCCCATTATTTCTAGACTGAGTAGCACACAAATATCAGGACTTCCAGTCCTAATCCTTGTGCTTTGCCAGTGGCGTGAGCCTTAATTTCTCAGCAGTCCTATTTCTTAACAAGCAATTTTATGTTCTCTTCCAAGTCACCCATTATGCATAGAAAAAACCCTTCCCATTAATAGCCATAAAGCTCCTTTATTGTTCTCCTTCAAATCTCCTTAAAACTTCCTTCTGACACAAAACACTTGTCATTGGCTAGGCCTGTTGCTTTTTATTCTCAGCACTGCTTTTCCCTTATCCTTCCCCCATGTGTCTGTAGTATACACCTGTTGTCTTTCATCATGGGTTAAGATCATAAGCTCTTTGGGCATAGACCATCGCTCTTATTACATGTGTCTGCAGTATCCAACACAATGGGACTGTGATCCCTGAATGGGGCCTCTGGGTACTGCCGTGATCAAGTTGATAAAGAATAATGATTTTTGACATGGGGAGTTCTGCAGTTTTTCCCAAGTCATTCTGCAGTTGTTCACACTGATATAACCGTTGTGTGTGTGAGCAGTGTCCTTAAACCTGATATATATGGTAATGCTGTGGAACATTCCCGGAGAGCGCTGGAGCAGTCCTTGCTAGCGCTGATTTTCCTGCGTTTTGAGGAGGGGGAGGGGGATTGGTCTGCTCTTGCACATCAAAATGCATGGACTGATGGGCAGCAACTGTTTCTTTCTGTGGGTTTGAGCAGAACTAGAACAATGGGACCCTGCCCTGCAGCTCCTGAACCCCATCCTGCGGACGCTAGTAATGACCAGTGGAGTCACATAAAGGGAGACGGCTGGAGCTGTAGGATGGGTTCATGCACCACTGGCATGGAGTATGCCCTGACAGTTTCCTTAACATCCTTGTGGATGCGGGACACAGCCTTTCCGTGCTGTAGTCCCCCCTGTTAGCCATGGGAGCGGGAAGTCTTGCTTCCTCTCGAGCGTGGAGTCCCAGCAGCAAGCGGGAAGAGGCACAAAGGGTGGGTTGTGCCAGCCAGAGCTGGGCTGCTGGTTTTTGGGGTGGGGAAGGTGAAGAGAGCCGCTCCCTCTTCTGCATGCCCATCGAGCAGTAAGACATGCAGAAAGTCTATTATTTTTAATTAATTTCCTTGCAAAATTCTCCTTTCCCTGAGCTCTGTTTCCAGCCTCCACCAGTGACCTTCCGGGGCCCTGCCCTCTTGGAGAGGTGCATCATCATTCACACCATGCAATCTCTCCCCCCAGCTCCCATGATATTATGTTTCCTCTCCTTTTCTCCCTTTCTTCCCCCTCCACAGTCCTGCCTTCAGGTTTTGCATTTAATTCCACAGGGCTGCCGGAGTCATCCTCTCCTTCAGTGTAAGCCTCCGTATTGTGCCCAGTCCTTGAGCTTTGCTCCAGCAATCCTGGAAAATCAGGAGACCCTTCTGTCCCTTTGCTAATTAATGCAGCTGTATTGGAGTGCGGCGAAACAACAATAACATCCATCATCGGCATCATAAGAAGAAACATATATCCTCCCGCCCCCC